CTTATTTGAGCCAATTAGATAGGGATATGCAAATTAATTGGCCATGATATCAGGGTCAAGCAATAATATGCAAATACACTGGCTTCTTATTGAGCTAATGGGACAAGAATATGCATAATAAGTTGGCAGTGATGTCAGAGGCTTCAGCATAATTTTAGGCTTGAATGTTAAGTATAAAATTAATTCTGCAACATTTCAAAATGCTTAATTATAATTTTGATAAAAATAAGAGGAAGCCCTAAGAAGCGCACAGACTGTTCTAACAAGGAAGTGACAATTCTCGAAATGACAGGGCTCTAGAAACTGAGTTATTAAAGAGAATTATAAAGAGTAGGAGTCAAGCCCAGTGCACACTGAGAAGCAGGCACAGTTACTAGCACAACAGAAAGAAGAAAAACGTAATGCCTCAAGGACGGAACAGCTTTAAGGAAGTAGAAAGAGATACGGACAGACCCTGAGACCACACTGAAATCAAGCGGCAGGCTGAGATACACGCGTGCAGAACAGGGAGGACGACACTTCCTGCAAGCTGTGCAGCCCTCAGGGATGGCCCAGGGACTCCCCACATATCACATGAGGTCCCATTCTCTGTCAGGCAACATACCTCCATCCTGTGAGTAGAGCCAATTATACAACACATTGGAGGTAGATTTTGCTTTAACACTCTATGTGTGTTAGCAGATTAAACCCCTGTTCCGAACCTGTGAGATGGCAGACGATTTCCAAGGCTATTTTGCTGATGGAGCCAAACCACAGCACAGTGAACAATGTGTCCCAAGTCACAGAATCTGGATTTGACACAGCTAAGACATCAATGCAAATATTAGTCCAGCTTCACGTTCCATTAATAAAGCATGGCTTCTATGTCCCACCAATGTCGACCTGAAGAGCAGGTGACTAACTATATTACAGATGGAAAGACATCTAAAACTTCCACTTGATTTCCAATCCTGGGAGTCACTGTATAAATTACTTGGTTGGTTGCTTCGTGTCACTTGGTTACTTACACAGTAAAATTGGAATTAGTGAGTCTACAAGACTAGATCGCAGCTATTAATAGGTTGCCATGTTTCTTGGATAGAAGTTGCCATGCTCTCTGAAAGGGCATGTGGCATTCTTTGCACACCGAAGTAGGGATCGTCTAAAACAGTGACACTCCAGACATATCAGAGGCGCCGTAGGAGAGATGGTGTTGAACTTACAGTCCAACTATCAGAAATGTGAGCACCTTTTATGCATGGGAAAATGTCTAACGAAAATGTTTATCTACTATTCAGCTTTAGCGAAGGCTGGTTCTAGGAAGGATGGTGTGGCAGATCTGGAAAGCAGACAGTATATAATGTGAATACAAATGATTCTTATCACCATAAATTGCTACAGGATTCTATGGCTCAAAGTTACATGTGTAAATGTTGACATATTTTAATTGAACCCAAAATAATTGACGAGGAACTGAATTTGCAATAAACTACATAACATGACAGTGAAGACAAACAAGGAAATACTTTGGGAATCTCTAGTCTCACTGGCCCATTCCAAACCCCGCCCAGATATTCAGCTGGAAACTCTGCTTTAACCCCACCTCTGTCTCTCCAGACCCCACCATATAGTGGTTCCTCCCCAAGATACTCAAGACCACACCTACAGGCTATTTAAGACCCAGACCCTAGACCTGCCACGTGATTTCTCCTCCTCCTGTTTTTGAGAGTGCTCTGCTTTGCTCTGCTTATTAAACCTGGTTTTATTAATTCAGCTGGATTTGGTTGATTGTATCAGCGGAGACACCCACAACCGGGGATTTTCAAAATACTTATCAAATATTACAAAAGGAATCCACAGATGGAGACCTAGAAGGGACCCTCTCAGAAGTCCCTGATTCTTTCACTAGTCACCTTGAGCCCCCCTCCCTCGCCTTGAAATCATGTGTTATGAAACTCAATGAGTCAATGAAAACATTCTTACTCAAGCAAACCCAAGATAGACTAGTTTGGGATAGTTTGTTATCCATTTTTCCAAGAGATCCACACGTTGAAGGCTCCATTAGCGCTGCTCAAGAGAGGCAGAGTGGAACTGTTAGACCATGGGACCAAAGGTTGGATAAGTAGGATATTGGGATCCAAGATCCTTTTTTCCTTGCTTGCCAGCTGCCATGACATAAGCAGCTTTGGTCCCCCACGTGATTTCTACTGCGATGTTCTGTCTCACCCCAAATTGTAGAATGGAAATTTCCAAAAGCAGAGCGAAAATAAACCTGAATTGTGTAGCTCAACTATTTTTCTTCACAGGACCAGAAAGTTACCATCCATTTCATTATGGGAAATCTTAGAAATAATTCGCTAGGAGAGAAAACTATAGTCCAAATTAGATTATGGAATTATAGAGTCAATGTAGGGTCCATGTTCTCCTAGAAGATTCTTTAAAGATGAAAGGAAAATGCCCTGCCTTTGTCCATGTGTGGACTACACACGGTTACAGCCACCCACCTCAAACAGACGAGGGTTAAATGAGTAGCCACCAGAGAAGGGCAGCCTAGACAGGGATCAAGGGGTTGTCTGTGAAGACAGGCTAAGAAGTTTGGGACTTTGTAGTCTGGGAAAGGAAAGCAGAGCACAGACAATGATGAAAGTTTTAAAATCATGAAAGGTAGAGGCAGAGTAATACCCGCCTGCCCATTCCATAGTACTAGGTGTAAGAAGTGACCCTGACGTTTGAAAGAAAACAGATGAAACGAAAGGCCCTTCAGAGGGATCTCAAAGGTACCTTTCCACCCAGGAATTTTTTTTTGGTCAGTCTTTCTTGGCTACCTTAAAGTTGGGTGGCAAAGGCGAGTTGAGGATCTGGGACAGGCAGAAATATAAGGCAGGAATTAGTCGAAGAAATTTTCCTGCCGCATCTTAAAGGAGGACATTGCTAATCCTTTTCGTGTGTCTTGTCAGAACCCGTTCCCACCACACCTTTGCAGGAGCAGAGATACACCACAGCTCTGGGCCTCATTGTCTAGCGCAGAAGATTGTGTGCCTGCCCTTTCCCCCCTCACTTAACTGTCCCCTCCTCATTCAGTCCACAGAAGAGGAACGGGGAGGTTTGGAACTTCTAATAACTGCAATAATAGAAGTACAACCAACCACTCCTATTTTTAAACATTGAACAAAAGTCAGTGCTGTCTCTTCTTCCTCTCATAAGGTTTGAGATTCCTGTTAGCAAAGCCTCCAACACCTTAATGGCAAAAGCAGAGAAATATGACAATCTCATAGAAATGTGGCAATAACTCGTTCTGGAGCTCAGCAGTTAAGAGCCTGCCCTCAATCCTCTTCCTAAGGGCCAAAGTTCCGTGATCAGCACTCACACCAGGCAGCTCATCATATTCTCCTTTTTTGCCAGCCTTAGTGGTTTAGAGAGCAAGAGTGAGAGGGGGAGAGAGAGAAAGAAAGAGAGAGAGAGAGAGAGGTAACAGTTGCATAAACATCCAACCATTACTGTAGTCACACCTTAGTGATGGTTGGAAAGACAGTGTCCCAGGAAGAGGGCAAGGCAGAACTTGAACCTCTGGTCGCATCTGGCACCCAACACGAGAGGACAATGCATGATTCAATATGACTGCTACTTTCTGGGCTATCTTTTTCAAAAGTCAGAAGAGCAAGGCCGTTGGGACTTTCTCACATCCTTGCTTGGGCTGTACCCTATTCTCAGGGTCTCCCTATATTGTTTTCCCCGCAAGGAAATGACCTCAAGTGTTTAGTGGAGAAAAGTGACTTTTTGACTTAAAAACATGAAATGAGCCCATTTAAAAAAAAAAAATCTTTTGGGATGTTAAAACAGCCTTTATCTGAGACTACAGCAACAAGATTGATGGACTTAAGAAATTCATAGATTTCAAATGATTAATGTTGGGCAACAATATGGCTATGTAATTAATTAACACGCTCCCGCCATTAACAAGAAGCCTAATGTACTTTTAGTGATAGTAGGCTTGCAGTAATATTGCACATACATATGTGACTGCGAGATTACATATTTATCTACTTGATAGACTGCATTGTTCACGGGCTTCCATTTTCAGATTAATTAAGGAAAGAAATGTGTTCGCGTATGGCAGGGTTCCAAGGCGCTACTAGAATAACAGCTTTTAAATCATCAGAACACAAGAAATAAAGATAAAATAAGCCACCGCCTCATCATTTTCTTTAAGAAGCAAATAAGAACTTCAGTGTCCCAGTGAGACCCCATCTTCCTGTTTCCTTTGAGAAGTTGTCTCAAGGACATGACTTAAGATTGCATGTACTCTTTCCGATTGTCTCTTCTGCCTGTATCACTTAAACACACACATACATGTATGTATAGATGGATGGATGCATGTATATACAAATATATGCATTGTATATAAATGAGATCATATCACACTCGTTATTTTGGTCTGCCCCCTGTGGTGTGTAACAGATCTTCCAGACCATAATTATAAAGCAGCCAATGCAGCTATTGCTGTTATAGCGTCTTTTTCTAGATATAGTAGCGTATGTTTAGTAATTTTATTACCAATAAAACTATTTGGAAAACTAACTTAGCCGAAAGTTTCCACACATTACTTGAAAAATAAATAAATAAAATGAGCTTTGGTATAGGAAGAAATGCAAAACAGATTTCCAACTCCTCAACATCAAGCCAAGCCAACAGATTGAAAGAAAGCTTTTCTCAATACCCCTGTGATGCAGAAGTCCTTCCCTATGAGTAAAAGAAAGAAGGGCAATAGGGAAGTCTGTTTTTCTAATATCACTAAACATGTTTGCTGCTCCTGCCTCTGCAAGTGGCTTCTGTGGCTGAAAAAGAGACCCTTACATTTATACAGTCTCATCGTGCATGAATAAGAAGGGATTTTAAAGTAAGATGCAATTATCCTAAGTTCAAAACCTAAAAAAAAAAAAAAAAAATGTTGCTTAAAAGACAACCGGTGTTGATTGCAAAGAGGGGCCCCCTACCAAAAAGAGAAAATCCAGCGATCGACTTGTAAATTTCTAGACTTTCATCAACTATATTTTCAGGAATTTAAATCCATTAAAACACACTCCATCCAGCAGCATTGCTGATAGAAGTCTGAATAAACCCGTGACAGTAACTAGAAGTAAAAATAAACCTTTACAAGAGTCAAAGGCAACGTTCTTTCAGAGAATTTCCCAATTCCTGGCTTTACCAAACCACTTATTTGTAAGCTTCTTTTACATATTGCTTACATCAAAAACAACTTGGTTTTTTACAGCCCTGTAAAATACAGGCGAGACACCAGAAGAGAACAGCATTGTCTGTAACACAGGCGAGGCACCGGAAGTGAACCTAGCCTGAACAATTCACTGGCAATGAAGCTCCTAAACAGTTCACCTAGAGATCTACCTTACTCTTCCTTGAAATACCTGTTCGTGCTTTGTGAGAATCTCACTGAAATTTAAAAATAAAAAATAGTTCAGTGACAGAGATTTTAGAAGAGGCGCTGAACACTGATGAATTATTCAAGCTGAACTTTCATTTTAATAACATCATTAAAATGTAAACATCTTAAAAGCCTGCCTACAGGAGTTCAACTTTATCCAATGCTTTCTGGGTGCCCCAACCTCGCCAAGAGGCTTGCCTAAGGCATGATTTAACAGTTATTACAGGCCAGAGCCAAATCATGAAAATGCCAGTGTTTGTCCTTGCCTTCTTGGCTTCCAGTGGCGATGTAAGTCAGCTATGGACAGGCCCCCTCCTGGGAGCCAACGGGATGCGTCAGAAAGGACCCAGACTGTACCACTGCACACCCCAAATCTAAAACTCATGACCTTTCAGACCCTCAGTCTGCTCACCCATAAAATTATGATGTTAAGCACAGCGTCATTGTTGAGTGCAGAAACGAGACAACGTTAGGTGAAAGTTCTCCGTGGAAAATATTTTCATAACTGCCCGCTATTTTAAACAAGAGAAAATTCTTAGTTAAGTTTGTGTGTGTGTGTGTGTGTATGTGTGTGTGTGCGCGCGCGCGCAAAAGCTTGATTCTAGGAGCATGTGTCTTCTCCATTACTGATCGAGCTAGCATGTCATGTCATGTGTGTGGTTATTAGGTGTTTGCAGCAGCACTATTTGCAATAGCCAAACGAGTGGAGCCAACTTTGCTAAATGGATGAACCATTTCCGGACAGCCAAGGAACCAGCACTCTGAAACGAAAGGGACAAACTTGGTATAGCTGGCAGTGTTTATCACCTCCAAAGCGACAGAAGACAAAGGGGTGATAGGCAAGCTCCATGCCTTATATTGTCAGGCAGCTTGTCATGTAATTCTTCTTTAATGAATTTCCTGAGTAATAAATACGAATTAGCTTACCGCATTGCTACTTAAGCAACCCCTTCTAGGTTTGTGGATGAGTTTATGCAGGTTTTATTGTCTCTATTCTCTTCCTGCCTCCACTGCGGCCACTTTCCTCCTTTGACTCCACACAACCATGACGGTGAATGAGGCGGAAAACAGATATTTCTATACCACATATTGTATCATTCAGCAATATATAAAATTAGGCCGTGTGTCTGGGGCAAGTGGGCAGGAAGTAGGTACAGGATTTTAATGTATGGCTCCTCATTAACTGAATGGCAGACATGAGAGCATCCAGAAACTAGCCCAGTAAACGCTCCTCTCCTGATAGCATTTTGCCACAATTCCCCGCATAGTTCATAAGAAGACAGACAAGCTATATTTCTCAGTACAGCTGTTGCTCAAGATTTTGTTGGAAATTCGTGCCAGGCCCAACCCGATCAACTCTAGTGCATACCCAAGAGCTGAGAATGTCCAAGCGCTATGCAAAAAACGGTCTAGTCTCTGCAGATAGCCTCCGCAGGCCCCGTGTATACTTCACACTCCCTTCAGTTTACCTGTCAGTCCTGATGCACTGTAAATACGATGCAGACAGATGTTGTATTGCTGAAGGTTAGCCACAAGGAAAACTGTCTGTATATATTGATCTCAAACTCAATATTGTAATCAGTTACCCGTTAGATCCATGGAACCAGAGAGAAGACTTCAGCTTGTCGCCACCTTCAGCTCTCCGAGCTTGATCATTTGATTGTTTAAGATAGTAGAGTTCTCTTCCAAATGCTTCTTTTATGATAACATGGCCAAGGCACACTCAGTGAACTGGGCAAACAGATAGTAGTAAAGAGGAAGGCTAGAGTCTACGTTTTCCTCAATATCAAGTCAGAATGTGACTGCTGGACCTACACACTGCCCTCTGCTGCGAACCACCATGAGCTGAACCGCAGCAACAGCATTAGTTTGACTAGAAGTAGCAAGGCCTGGTCCCTGAGCAACTCCCTGTTGCCTTGCCTAATAATTTTTTCCCCGGCTAATAAATACCTAATTTGATGCAATGAGTCAGCAGTCGCTACTCATTGCTGTTGCATCACTGAACGGTCAAGGTTTTAACTTCCACTCCGCTCTACAAAGCTTCCAACCTCTGTGACCCACACACGCATGCGCGCGTGCACACGCACGTAAGAAGAATAGCGCTCGTCCCCACTCCCAGCCTTTCCAGACCCTCTGACCCTCTTTAGCGTGTTCGCTTCTATCTGAAATTTCATTTTCTCTAACACACTTGTCCTCGAGGCTACACCCGTCCTACTGATTCAAACCATGGGGAAAATTCTCTGCCTGGATTCTGCCTCAGCCCCATAGCCTTCACCTGAGATGAATTGTTCATCTTGCTAAGAGAAAAGCCTCTTCCATCGAAGTATTTACTAAGAATCTATCTGAACTGGAGGCGGGAGGGAAGGGGGACTGTTTATTACCGAGTCCCAAGGCAAGATAAAATATTCCCTGTTTCCCTCCTTGATGTATTATTTACCTGATTGCTAAATGCGCCCACATTTGCGCTGTTGAACTGTGCCTCCCTCAACTAGCCAGTCTGACCCAAGATTAAATCAGTTGCTAAGGAAGCCTTCTCCATGCAGCTGTATACCTGGGGACTATCTACGTTGTAGACTCGAGTGTTGACGTGTAATGCTACGGTAGGACGGTACAAAATTCCAAGGCACATTTCAGTGAGACCCTCAAATGAAAAGCTCCCCACAAATGTATTCTGATCAAGGCTGCTCCTCCCCCTCCCCAATAAAGATTTTAGTATTCACACAATAGCTTTCCGTGCCAGGGAACTAAAATGTATTATGCAAGTTAAAATTAAGAAAGAGTGCTATCCTTAAGCCAAATTATATAGAGAAGTGTCTTGTAAAACTCTCCCCCAGATAGCATGTCATATATAGATTTTTGGCTCATAACAACCAGTTGAAATTCATGCAGAGCTAATCATTAAAAGACGCTAAAACTTAATATTTGGTTGCAAGCAAGGTATTAGATGGATTGTTTTTCATCCTGGGTGAGTCAGTGAGAATACAGCCCTTTCTTTTTATTTCTGTTTGCTCTGTGTACGTGGGCCTTGACATTCCGTCCTTGTCTTCCCATTCAGATTTCAAGATGATTTAACCTGAAATGTAAAACAACGGTGGAATCTTATTATCGACTAAGATTATTCATTTCTTAGCTGAGTCTCCAGACATGGAGCTCCTGCACTCTGCGCTGAGGGGCAGGGATGCTACAATCATTTCTAGTAACACAGTTAACTAGAGGGACATTTAGTTTCTAAAGCAAGCACGGCGGGGAGTCGGGGTCATGCGAAGGGCAGACACAGCATCAGCCAAGAACTGTTGTGGAACTGGAGCTGTAGAAACTGCAAAAGGAGAGACAAAGCAAACACAACAACTGTCTGGAAAGAGATGAACACGGAAGTTCTCTATTGGAATGATACGGATCTGAACGGGACCCAATGAGTATGCACAGTGCAGATCCATACTTGGTTTTCTCCATTTTCGTTCCTAAAAAGACCCAAGGCAAGCTTGTAAGAAAGACTGTTAAGGTTTACCATCCCCAGCTCCAACTGTCGATTCGGGAGCTTACCTGTGCAGCCCCTACATCTTTTAAGACACTTCCATTTCTGCCTGAGAAGTTCTAATAAGAGATACCAACCACCCAAAAATACCACGAAAGAAAGCATCTATCAAAAACGTAGAGTGGTTTATTTTGTCCTTAAAATAAAAGGGTGGAGGACCACTGGTCCCAGTACAATAGTAGCTATGATCTAGTGCTAAGCATATGTTAATTTGGATTTGTTTAACTGTGAGCGTGATCCCATGAGATAAATATCATTATCCCTAAAGACAAAAACAAAGGCCAAGGCTTGGAAGTCAGCGGCTTGAGCCAAGCCTGAGAGTGAGGAAGTAGCAGAATCCAGCTCCTTGCTGCAACCCCTCTGTTATCCAAGCCAGCCTGGGACCCTACCACATCCCACTGTTTATATCATGTCCCTTCAGTTGGCCATAATCCCAGGCCTAGAACAGAACGCTGCACAGTGATTATCTGCTGACTCACGATTAATACTCTCCATAGATGATTTCGACAAAGTAACGGCATCCAACTGTGCCTGCAAATGCCACCACGTGCGCATCCCAGCAACTCGCTGGATAAACAGCAAATGCCCTAAAGAGCACAAAGCGACGGCATTTCTTCCACTCTTTCTTATTTCTGCTGGAAATAATATCCGGAAGGAATTTGTGTTCTTTTCGACGACAACACCAAAAGGGGAGGGGAGAGGTTGATGCTTACAAGTTTATATGATACAGAAAGAGCAGGTGGGGAGCAGTGAGCAGGGACTCCCCAGGGGGAAGGCAATCACAGGCAAGCCACTCCATTTTCTGGGCAGTTTTAATTGCCTCTTCATCAGACATCATGCCTCCAGTGGGGGAGGTAAAGAACTTCCTGCGTCTTGTTTTTCTCTTCCTTTCGGCTCCTCCTTTTTCAGTTTGCCAAAAGGCAGTGGAGGACGCTGTTAGATTCTTCGGGAAATAGCCCATCTCTGCCACCCTTTACCTCTGGTCCTATCCACATTGTTCTCATTGATCACTGGCTGCTGTGTTTTCTGACTGTGTCCTGCAAATGCCGTTTGTCACCCAAAAAACTGAGTTATTTAGTCTTTAGTGGTGATGGACGCCATCATTGTTCTTCGCTCTGTGTGCCCCTGTGACCCCGTGATTACCGCTTCCCACCATTTTCCCGAGCTAGGGATCAGTTGCTCCTGGTTCCGGAAATGCTTTCCCCCCCACCCCCCAGAGACACTGCTTGATTCACTCTTGTGTGGTCATCACCTAGCCATGCCTAGCTGTGTAGGCCCCCACAAGGAGGTTAAAATGAGCCAGTTCATTGTATCCCCAATATTGAACGTACAATGTGAAGTAAAGGAGACTGAACTAGAATCATAAAAAAAAAAATCAAAAGGAACTGAATGAAATATTTTAAGGCATTATCCCTGGGTTGAAGCCAGAACACTACAAAAAAAAAAAAAGTGCTGTACTGAAGTAAGATTATCCAGACTGTAGCAATTGACCATTTGATTAGCACACTGTAACTGTGATGACCATGATGCTATTCAATCAGTATCTAAAATTATAGTGAGTTCTCTAAGCTAAGCCCATAACGGCAGATATAGTCTAAATTACCATATATTTAAAGAATGGCCAGGAAACACCAACTGTATTAATAATTCCAAAGACAGCAAGTGGAATATAAGTAATATTTTAAAAAAAACAGTCTTGATTATATATACAGGAGGGTCATTCCCAAAAAATTGATTTTTCTGGGCCTAGGATACCTTCGTGGTTCAGGCTTCGCTGTGACCTCGGGAGACGGGAATGTCAGATCAACAGTGACAACCGACATACACCCAGACTACACATATACCCTTGGTCTCTCAATTTCAGATTCCTAAACCTCACTCTACCGGTGCACCCAGTTCAATCTGGATCAGACCTAGCACTGGGCACCTGAAGTTGCATCAATAAGACAGACAGTGGTCGGCAGGCAGCATGTGCATACAATTTTAAGACTTTGGAAGTTGCAAGTGGAGGATAAGTGTTCTAAGTTAACTGGAGGTGGGCAATAGAGGGAGACCCTGTCAAAGAGAGAGGGGGAAGGGAGAAGAGGGAAGGAGGGAGAGAGAGAAGGAAGGAGAGAGACAACAATATTGTACATTCCTCCTTTTTTTGTCTTACTAAAGACACAAAAATATATTGCCTCAATTTTTCTCTTTAAAAATCAATTACTCATTAGCCCAGAACAGAGCATGGTAATATATCAGTGTGATACCTAATTTTAATGTAAAAATAGTATACATGCTAACAAGTGGTAATTGCTTCATAAATCTTGGAAATACTGTCATGTTTTCAGAAGACACTGAACTTTTAAAAATCACAATAAGCTAGATTCATTTCGGAGTTCGAAAGAACTAGGATTCTCTGAGTAGCTGGAGGGATTCTCAAAGGCGTTTGAAGGACACAAGTCTGGAATCATACATTTGGCACATATGTAACCCATCTACTAAGTACCACTGTGGGCCAGGAGCAGGAGAGAGAAAACTAAGTAAAATTCACCCCTAAAGGCAGGGAACACTATACAGAAATACTGCCTGTGATTTAGATTAGAAGTGGCAAACTTATTCTTCAGGATGCCAGGTAGTAAATATTTTAGACTTAGCAGACCACATGGAATCTTAGAGCATTCGGCTTTGCCATTAGAGAAGAAAAACAGCCACAGACCGCAAGGCACAAGCAGGCATGGCTCTGTTCCCATAAAACTATTTCGAGCTAGGAATTTCATCTCATGAAATATTAATCTTCTTTTGATCGTTTTCAACGTTTAAAAATATATAAATCTTCTTAGCGTGTGACCTACAAAAAAAACGTGCAATAGACAGATGTGGTTGGTCCCCAGACAGTCGTTTGCTGACCAACAGGACTTTACAGGCGTATGGAAGATGAGAATCCAATTCCAGCTGGGAGCATGGAGGTCAGAGGGATAGAACCTTCCTGGGAATAAAAATCCATCCGCTGAGGGCCTATATAGGGCCAGTGAATAGGTTCAGAAGGCAGCCTGAGCAAAGGCAGACTTCTGTGAAACAGATTGGGAGCACAGAGGCATCACTGAGAAACGAAGTCAGAGATCAGCTAGGTCCCAGAGTCCCATTAAGGAAACTGGACCTGAAGCTCAGGATGAAGATGGCGTGGGCTGTTGGGATGGTCCAGAGTGAAGGGTTTCTATGACAACATCCCAGCTGTGGCTAGAATCCCAACTGTGCCACTCTCCTAGACATAGCCTCCGAACATAGGGTTGTCCGCTGGTCCCCCCTGTCCTCATCTGGAAACGGGAGACAAAGCCTACCTCGCCATTTGGCATCCTGTCCCTTTACCTGTGTGCTGCACTTTAAAAGAAAAGTCCTAACTGTTTGCAAGGACATCATTGCTAACTCATTGCTTGACTGACACTCTCGCTGGATTGAGGAGCCACATCACCAGCAATGGTTAGCAAACACCTAGCACCGCCTCAAGAGGGCTGATGAGTAAATGGGAAAGAGGCAACTAGCCGCTCCCAGAGCCAACACCCTACCAGCTTATTCTGCCATAGTTTCTCCCTACAATTGCTTTACAAGGATAACTCTGGGGCATCGTTTCTTTAAAATCTGGGGGAACGTCACTGAGGGGAAAAAAAAATCAATCCTTCTCTAAATAAATGCTTTCCCAAATGAATTGGGTTTTTCTGAGCAAGTTCTGATTCCATTTCACTATGGTACATGGATATTTCCTCTGCTAGTAAGGTATACTTCCTTCCAGAAGCTTTATTCATCTAGATGGGCAGTGTTCTCGTTTGTGCTGCACTAAATCTGAGGAGAGACAAGAGATTTTCATTGCGTAATTTATCAGGCTGGGTTTTTAACTTAAGCATCGAGACAGTGTAAGAGGCCAACACCACGAATGGGCTTCCCCCTAGAAATTGTCAAGGTTAAGACATCGTCTTGTAAATAATAGAAATGTCTCTTTTTTAATTTATTTATTGTGTGTACAACATTCCTTCCATGTACACCTGCACACCAGAAGGGGGCACCAGATCTCATTACAGATGGCTGTGAGCCACCATGTGGTTGCTGGGAATTGAACTCAGGACCTCTGGAAGAGCAGTCAGTGCTCTTAACTGCTGAGCCATCTCGCCAGCCCATAGAAATGTCTTTTATCTATTCATTAGATTTTTCAGAAATCTTGTTTTAAGGCAAACCAGAGAGTAATAATATCCATGTTGGATTTTCACTGACATTTCTCTTTATTGTTCTTGAATTCAGTCATTCATTCATTCATTCATAACTACTAAGATCTACAGTGTGCTGTACTCTGTTAAATCTTTCCATTTGGATACGTTTATTTTTACTGATTTTTTTATTTGTTTCTAGGTTTGGGGAGTGTTTTTTGAGGGAGGGGTAATTTGATTTTTTTGAGATAGGTTCTAACTGTGTAGCCTAGGCTATGTTAAATTATAACCTGGTCTGCCATGGAACTCAGCATTCTACAAACCCCAGTCTCCCATGTCCTGGGAACAGAGGTGTGCACC